TTCTTCTTCTTCTTCTTCTTCTTCTTCTTCTTCTTCTTCTTCTTCTTCTTCTTCTTCTTCTTCTTCTTCTTCTTCTTCTTCCTTTCTATTAGTTTGTATGAATTTTTATGTTCTTTGTAAAACTTTTAATAAAATTTACCAATAGCAAGTGCCATTCTAAGTGCCAGAAGACTCTGGGGGTGTTCAGACAACGTGCTAGACTGAGTTAATGTGAGGCTGAGTCATTTGAGTTCACCATCTTGTAGGAAGCCAGTCATTATTCTAGTGTGTTGGGTGAGCCAGGGCATGATATTAAACCATGATGTGGTTTCTTTGAAACATAACATATTATGTGAATGTAGGGTTTGTAGTTTGTTTACCCAGATTAACATGATGTGTGAACCCATCCTTTCTCTTAATGTTTCTTTTTTTTTCCTGTGACCAACCAACTTATCTCACCCTCAGCTCATTTAACCCAGCTGTGGAGAAGCTAAAAAGCAGAGCACAAAGCTAACAGCTCTCTTTGTTTGTTTTAATGACATCATATTCAGCGGTAGAGTGCCAACAAACATGGGAGTTCTATTTAGCTGTCATGGGTGATAATCCTTTGGGCTGTGCTGTCAGCTCTTCGAGGTAGTCCAGATCAGGAAATCAAAGTTATGAATGCTAATACTACTTTTATTATAAGATTACAGTAACAGAATCTTGTAAGTCTGAATGTACCTCTCTCCTCCCTGCCTTTATGTTCAAGAGAACTAGGAGGGTCAGGTCTGATACGCTTTCTCAAATTACATTCCTGTTTTGGACTTAGATTTCTCTTATCTGACTGTTGTCTTGGTTGGGTCTCTTCTTCTGGTTCCTCAAGGTTATTCTCACAGCCCATTACATCGGCTGAGAGCACTCAACTGGCCTTGACAGTAGAATTCACTGCTTGGGGAATAGCCTATCCTGACCTAGGTTGGTGCGGGGGAGGGTGGCATAGTCCATCCCAGTTAATCCCAGTTCTAGACCATGATGAGGTGAGGATGGGGAACAGCTCCATTTTTGCTGGGTGAATCCTCCCTTTAGCATTCAGAACAAGGTCTTCCTTCAGGGTGCATAGTTTCCCGGCTCTATTTGGTCCTTCTCTCCCATTGTGGTGGAGCTGAAGCAGGACCCAAATTGGTGTTGGAGTTTCACAGAGCTTTTGGAATCAGAGCAGAGCGCATGAGAATCATTCAGCCCAAGATGAGTGGCATAAAACTTTGTCCTCTGATTTCTGGAAAATTAATGTCCTGCTTGTCTCTTAAGGATTCCTTGTTAGCTTGTGTTGCTAGCAACACCTTACAGAACTCATTAAGCTCACATCAATGATTTAGTCCTCTACAAGAACTTTCTCAACTTCATACTCACCAAAGTATGTATGTATGTATATATGTATGTATGTATGTATGTATGTATGTAATTATGTAATTTCTATAGCCGCCCATTTCAATCCAAGTGACTCTGAGCGGCGAACAATTTCAATAATTAAAACCATTAAAACCATTAAAAATTACACATATAGGCAGCTGAGAGTTATCATAAATATTACATAAAAATCAACATTTGGATTGTGACTCCCCAATGTCTTTGGATAGGCTGGCTGTGAATTCTTTATTGGCTGGCATTGGGGTACTCCAGGACTACCTGCTGACTCCAACCAACCTGAATTGGCTCATCCTGTTAGAACATCTGGGGAAAAACTGCTTCTGTTGCCCCAGTATTGGGAAATAGAGGATGCTGAAGCCACAAGGTGCTGCTTCTCGGTGGCAAAACCAGTCTTCTGGAACAGTCTCCTTTTGGAGATCAGGAGGACCTCTTCCTTGCGTGCCTTCAGGAAAACACAAAACAGAGCTATTCTGGAGAACATTTTACTTGTCAGCTCCATCTTTTTTTGGTTTCATATGGGTTTTTTTGCTATTCCTTTGTTAGGAGGTTTGTTCTGCTTTAAATCTACCGTAGATGTTTTAAATTTCTGCTGCATAAAATGCTGAGAATCTAATTGATTGCGGCAGGATGCAAATGAAATCAATCACTAAATTATGGCGTTGAAGTCCCAACACATCTGGAGAACTTCAGATTTGATAACACTGTGCACAAAAAAGAGGGTGGGGCTTTGACTGCGTGGTTGGGTCCACCATCTTGAATTTTTTGACCTCCTCTCTGCAGAACCCCCTGGCCCGTAGTCTTGAGAATGATATGGGAAGGAATGTTGATCAACTCATAACAATATATTTTTACCTCCTTCAGGCAAAGAGAGCAGACGTGATGTACCACCTCCGTGCGAACATGGCTTATCCGCTTCTCGCCTTCCCATCCCTGGGATACAGCATGCCACCCCCCCAACAAATACCAGAGTGTTATGCCTTTCTTTCGGCGCCTGGGACCCAACCCTCTGCCTTCTGTGAGGTTCTCACAACAGACCACCTGGCAGGTGAAAGAATCTGTCTTTCGGCCTGGGGATGAGAGGGTCACACAGGTGCTGTCAAACTGCTGCTCTCCCTACCTGTTGAACTGCCACTGTCGTTATCTCTAGTTTAAGCCTCATTTCTTACACGGTGGAGAGCTTTGAAGAGGTTGAGGGTGGAATGAGAAGGAATCCATCTCTCCTCCCATTCCTTGCCGCCACTTTCCAAATTTCACAGGGGTGTTCATGTATGTGTGAATGATGTCAAAATGGTGGGCGTGACTGGGCGATCAAAGCCCCACCAGTTTTTACCTATGAGTGATGCACATGATGCAGGTTTAAAAGGGGTTGGGCTTTGATTGTTCAGTTATGTCTGCCATTTTGATATCATTGACCCCTCGGAGGATGCCTCTTTGTATGATGGTATGTGGGGGAGACCTTGGGAGATGGGGCCAAGAGACGCAGCCAAGGGAACAGTCAGATAAGAGACAGCATAGCCCGCAGCTGGATAGTAGGCGGGGCAAGAGGCTCTGAAGGGACCCTCCTTAGATGTGCAAGATTGATATCAGCCTTGTGGGGTAAACCAGATAGGGATCACAACCACATGAGCTAATTCTACTTTATTGTAAAGCTACATTGACAGAATCTTGCAAGTCTGAAAGTACAATTCTCCCTGTCTCCTTTACAGCCCGAGAAACTAGGGAGGGTCCCTTCTGAGCCTCTGGCCCTGACTGCTATCCAGCTGTCCCTTATCTGCCCATTCCCTAGGCAGCGTCCCTGGGCCCCATCTCCCAAGGTCTTTCCCTCATGCTATCACACTTTGGGAGGGTGCGACAGAAAAATGGGGTGGTTCTCCACCAGCTGTTACCTTGTTCCTAGTTTGTACTGACAGAACCCATACAAACCCCATCTATTTACAGACCTGAAAAGATTTCTTTCTTAAGGGAATGGAGCCTTTGACATAAAAAGGGTTCTCCACATTGGCCTTAGGTTTGACTCTGAATGAATCGGGGACATAAAAGTCACAGGGACCTGTGATGACCCTTCCCTTCCTCCACCCTCCAAACACACAGACCTGTTGCTGGACCTGCCTTATGGACTCTCCCAGAAACAGCGTAGGAGCCGCACCGCTTTCACTGAAGAGCAGTTGGAGGCACTGGAGAATACTTTCAAAGAGACCCATTACCCAGATGTGAACACTAGGGAGCGCCTGGCTGTGTTTGCCAACCTACCTGAAGCACGGGTTCAGGTAAGCCTTTGTAGGCCTTCCCAATGTACGCTGAACACGCGCCATCGGAAATTCTCAACATTATGTACAGGTGGAGAAACTAGAGATTATTTTTCTGGCATTCCTTTCCCCATTTCTGATCCCTCTCCACCTTGTATTGCAACATTGCTCACTTAATTAAAGGTCTGCCTTTTTACAAACAGGGCATTGGCGTCATACCTTCCAAGTTTTCACAATTTATTATAGGGTCATTTCTGTAATACCCTGATGGGCATGCTAAATACCCTTATCTTGGACATAACTCAAATGACCTGCCCTTTTCCTTCTCCTTTACCCTGTAAATAACTTTTCTGGCACTCACAGAAGAGAGTTCAGCAACTGGCTGTTCCAGTTCCTATCCATCACACACTCAGGAAAGTTTCATCTCAATGCATTTGATTGCACTCCAGCTGCGATGCAAAACCGCTTGGTTACCCTTTCCTTTTGGACATGCAGTTCAAAGAGGGCTCACTAGTAATGTGCCCTGTCCCATATACCCACGCATGTATTTGCATGCAGGTGCACTAGAAGGGTGATGTACCTTCTGTCACATGCTTTAATTAGGGATGTGAAAAGAAGCCACTATGAATGTTCTTTCAGTGATGAGATGATGAGATCTGCTAATGACAATGTGGTCGGTTGCAGCCTGTAACATACAGCGCCTTCTAGTGTCTACTTTCAAATCTTTGAACTTTCATGTACTGTAGAAGAGGATATTAGAGCAATGTCCCTCAACCTTATCAATTTTAAGATGTGGGTACTTCAGTTCCCGGAAGTCCCCAGCCAGCATGCTGGCTGGGG